CTTTTTTCTACCTTTTTTTTTTTATTTGTTTTAAATCATTGTTGTTAATTTCAAGGCATCGCATGCAAAGAATAAAACCAGCAATAAATTCAATGTAGTTGGGATGTTTAAAAAAACAACAGGAAGAGCATAAGACACGACCAGCTTTATCCCTTAAAATCAGCCAAAATTTAATGCCATCATGGTGCACGGTGAAACTGCAGCCCACTGCTTCAATTGGAGCAGGACTTGGTTTCAGGACCATGGACAGCATCAGAGGACATCTCTACATGTCCTCCTCTATGTCCTGGTTCACTGTGGGAACAAAAAGGAGTCCTTCACCTGACATGTCAGATCCACACTTGACAAAGACAAAGGCTGATTTAGACATTTTTGAATGGGGAAACCCCAGTTGGTGCACAGATTCCAAGAAGGAAGGCACATAGTGGACATGAGTAAAAAGACTCCAATTCAAAGTGCGGTTTCTTGGCAGTAACAATTTGTAATTTATTAATAACTCTGCTGTTTATTCAGTGTAATAAATTAATGCCACACTTTAAATCTTCTAATGTGAAATTATAAAAATACATTTCTGATATTTGTGACATACATTTTGAGCCAGTGGGCCCTTGGACACAGACATGCAAAAGGCTCCCTACCCCTCAAATATAGGAGCAAGACCCTTAGACTGAAATATATCTTTGCATCTTTTTTTGGTTGTTTTGGATCTTTATGGTCATTTTCTGTCTTATTGTGGTTGTACTGTCTCTGTTTTAGGGCATTTTGCATCTCTGTGTGGCCGTTAGACTTCCTAACAAATGAGTAGTCTGATGCTAACAAGCCAACTACAAGGCTATGGTATGGGGACCACCAGGGGCCTGTGTCACCCCTCTGGCCCTGCTTCAGTACAAAAATAATAAAGAGAATCACAGATGTGCTGCATTTCAATTTTCCTCACCAATCACATTCAAAACGATGACAGACGATAGGCCCCAATCCTCCATTGCAGTGTGCAGACACGAGTCATTAGTGTTGCATCTCGTTTGCCAAACAAATCAGTTCAATCAGATCTGCACTTTCCACTTGTTCAGAGGTGCTGGTGAGTGGAGGCGGGGTGGGGGGTGCATTTGAAAGAGGTGATTAGTGGGTGGAAGGACAGATGTCTTTATTTTGTGAATGTGAATGTGAGTGTGTGTGTGTGTGTAAACCATCTCAATTTTCAGCCACTGCTGTTTGAAAGGTTAAGAGCCATCATTCTGCTGGAAGCACAGAGTCAGACACTCCAGATGAATTTTGCCGCCTGTGAGCACGGGTCATCATGACAAACGGGGACTAAGGCCGTCTGAGAACACCAGTTTGTGAGACTAATTAGTGAACCTCACTGAGTGCTTAATGATGCTGTCAGGGTGCTTTTTAGTAGTTTTCTATCTCCTTTTAAAGTAAATATATTCAAAATGAAAACAGGAGTTAGGCTGTGGATGAAGAGAGTTGATTGTCACTATGTAATTTTCGGTCTGACAACCTTGTAAGTGCGGGAGGCGTAGGTGTGCCAGTGACAAGGAGCTTGCTTTTCAACTGACAACACCACAATGCTTGTCACTAAATGTTTTCCTCCAATCAAAATCACATTATTCAAATCTTTGAAAATGTCAACAGAGCAAACCTCAAACTTTTGATACTTTGTGCTTTTATTTCATTCTAAATCTCCAGCAGCTCTGTGAGTCATGTGACAGAGCAGGAGGAGAAGGAATGGGTCAGGAAGTAATGGCATAAGTATCCTTGCGGCTGTGGAAAATTCTGACCTCCAGTAGGACTTTCTGGATGTCAGCGAGGGCCTGACTCGGGGTCAGAATAGCACAGGCCTGTACTGCACTGCAGGCTATGGGACAGTGACCTGCTCTGCACACCCACCATTTTCACACAGATGCTGTTCAAATGCTGGATGATATCCTGATGGTTCCTCATTTTCAGCTTGAAAGACTTTCAACTTGGTGATAATCAGTGGCCAATATGGCACCATGGGCCTGAGAGTAAGGAGTCCCCAGTCCCTACTTCTACAGTATACAGCTGTTGTGAAGGACGCATTGTACTGTGGGTGATATGGGCCATAGGGCCAGTAATGACATTGTGCACACAGAAAAGGATTCTACTGGAGAAAACATTCACAAAATTTCAAATACTCCAATTTGCACAAATGGTTGAAAAAGAGAGCAGTTGTAAGGATATCATCGTTGTTGCACAAATACAGTTGTTAAGATTTACCTCATATCTAATTTATTTAGCTATAGCCATTAAATGTTTTCCACCCTTTAGTTTGTATTGTCAGTGGCAGAGTCTGCCGCTTCTGCACTGGAGATTTCAAATTCAAATGGTACATTCTCAAGGCATTTACAGGAAACGATGCATGCACTTCCTGTGCACTAGCCAGTACATGGGCACAGTGCATGCAACTTATGTGCATGCTCACTTGTCTCATAATGACATAATCCAAAAAATGGGAACAGCTGGTTCCAGTCATTCTGAAAAGTATCTGGTATGGGAAAGCCATACGTGTTTCTCATCTTTTCTTGTTCTATTTTAGATAGAGTAGCTCCTTGAGGCACATTTCCAGTCCCAAGTGATTGATATATGTGTCATGTACCTGGATTATTAAGATGTTTTTAACAGAATTAAAACAGCTATCACCAAATCAACCAGAGCCAGTTTCTGATAAAGGATTATAACTTTAAGGTCACTTCAAAATCACTAAACCTTACTAGATATATGGATTTTATAGGAATACTGAAACAAGTAAAATTTGACGAGTTCTAATGCTTAGAATTTATTTTTTAAATTTTTAAGGTTGGGGGGTGAGTATTAATGTGGGCCTATGGACAGGATGCACAGACGTATAGTCTCTGATCATATGCTGATATTCAAAACATTCCTATGATTAGAAGTGATGATTATAAAATATTATTGTGACATTAGAACGTACATACAGTACAACAAATAAGTATCAGTACATTAATAATGGAGTACTAAACACCAGGTCACTGAAGGAATATCCTAAAAATATTATACAATACTTGAAATGAGAAAGAAAATGAATTAGTCCAATTTTTTTATTTCTTGCTCACATTGCTTACACTGTTTACACTCATACTGAATACCAGCATGTATTTTATGTTGTCTTCATGATATTTGGTCTCATTAATAATAAGTTTAACAAGTTCGTGCTCATGGATTTTAAGCACATGGTTTGAGGTTGGTTATACAGTATAAACCACTTAATGACGTGAACTACCTCACTATTAATAACCCAAATAGTCTACTCTGTAGTGAGCAGTACACTGATATTTTGGACACTTATTAAGCATCATCAGCTATAATAACTGTAACAGCTGTAACACATTGTGTTGCATGACAGCAGAAAGTTGTGTACTTGTATTAAGGAGTGAATAAAGCCAAACACAGACCAAACATTTCCCCTCAAATTTCTGATGGGAACAGGATGTAAATATTTGAACCCTAAATGTTAGAGCTTGTGTATCTGTACAGACTAGGGGTGGTTCGGTTTGTTTTCGGTACAGAAATAGAAAAAATACAGTTCATAAAATTGCTTGTCATTTATTATGAACTTTTGTAAATATCAACAGTTTAATTTTTTTTATTACATTTTAAAAGAAACATAAATAAAATATATAAAAATAGAATACTGCTGCAAACTACTACTAAGTGCTCCTTTAACCAGAGAAAGGCTGTTTAAATGACTGAAAAATGATGACGCTTGTACTACACTTATTTTTCCTCACAGCAGTGTCACGTTTGTGTGGTGCCGTTTCAGATGAGTTAAAATGTTTGTTGTGTTACCAAAAACATACCTGATCTCCACTGAATGAACATATTGTATGAACTGGCAGACTGGAGCACATTAAACAATGAACAGGCGAGACATCTTATCCACCTGTCATTGTGTGTTGCTGCATTCCACTGGGAAGCTGAAGTGTTCTCAACCAGGAGGCTGTAATGAGAAGGGAGGGTCCTCCAGCTCTGGCTTCTCGTTTGTATAGGCCATGATGTTTGCTTACCAGAGGCTTGGCTGAGCTAAATGTGCTGTGTTTACTGTGCTCCAGTGCTGCCACTTAATATGTTTGTGTGGGAACGCAGAATCGAAACAAAGGTTACATAAAACAAGCCTACTGTTCACTACTGCAGTATTAGCGATTGCATTTTGTACACGTCTGCTCCAAGTCCTGTACCAAACCGGTATGAATACTTTACACCCCTAGTACAAGCATAAAGCAGAACATGACTGAACAAAGTCATATCTGCTCCACTAAAACCTCTCCTTGGATAACGGGTAATTGAAAGTACACACACAGTACATTGACCAGTCTTTCTCCTGCAGGCTTAAGAGGCACTCTGAGCTCTGATAAAACACAGATGCTCTCACTGTTCAGCATCAGGAGCCACAGTAACTCCAAACCCCTTGCTTGTATTTCAGAAAACAATGTGTTTTTGGAAGATTGATGTGATGGAAATAAAAAAAAAAAAAACATGTTATGGTTATGAAGATTGAAGGCTATGGTTTCCTGGCGGAGGGAGCAGCAGTTGGAGTGTGGAAATGGTTGGATGTTGCTTGTTTTCCAGTAGCCACAGTTTCACTGCTTGTTTCTTGCAAATCATGTTGCACAAACCAGCGTGATTAACTTGAAATCTCAGAAAATTGAATAAAGGAAATAAGTTGTGGGATGGTGCTGCCAGGTTGTTTGTGTGCTTCTCTCCTTTCAATACCAGAATGGGTTCAAGAGTTTGTCACAGAGGAAAATGCAGCAGACAGTTCCACTTTGGTGTGCAGTTCTTTCATCAACAGACTGACTGTGGCTGGTGAAAATGATGTTTTGGAATCAGTGATTTGATCTTCTGGTCACTGTGGTGGATCCAAAGGTCAGACCACTGATGTCATCCTGTTTGGTTCCAGTTTTTTTCTGTGTTGTGCTGATTTTCCTCTGTTTGCCTCTCTGTTGCATTTTATTTAGGTTCATCTTGGTCTTCAGCTGCCTGGTGCTCTCTGTGTTCTCAACCATCCCAGCTCATCAGGACTTCTCCTCCCACTGTCTTCTCATTCTGGTAAGAGACTGGTGAACCACCAGCAATATTAACTCCTTTTCTTGGGTTTGCCATAGTCCCTCTGTTCTTATTTAATCACCAAGAACACTCTAGAGCTGTACCATTAAATTGCCTGGACATAAAATTAAATATAGCGGAAATTTCTGTACTGCCCCAGGCTGTACAAATGAATCTGGGAAAGATAAGGCTCAGAAAATTTAAAGGTTGCATTACACTTTCGCATTAAATGACCTATAATAATAATTTGCAGGGCAGTTCCACCATCAGTGTGTGAGCGTATAATCTTCCCCATTGCAGGACTAATAAAGGAATGATTAAATTAAATTAGCAGTGCAGGTTGAGGCATTTTGGTGAGAATTGATAATAATGATTTAATTAATGATTAAAATGTGACGTGGTTGAGCAAATCATGATCCCTAGCCACTTCCTGTTAGGGACTTTTATTTTGAAGCCATTTCCTGCCTCATGCACCCTCACTTGCCCCAGATTTATTTTTCAGACTACTTTCACTTGCTGCTCCACCCTTGATATAACCTCCCTTAATGCTTTGCTGGTTTATCTGTTGTCATCATCTTCTTTTGTCCTTGCCTGTGTATTTTCCTGTAAGACTTCTCCTGTGACCCTTTGACTGTTTTAGTTCATCTGCATCCCTGCTGTGTCCCATCATCAGTCTGACTCTATCCCACATCCAGTTTGTCTTTTGTTCACTCAGGTTGTTAGTTTTCTTAGTGCCAGTTTATGTTGTTTGTTCTGCATTCTTTCTCTTTTAGTATCCTGTACAGCTCCTTGACTGTATGGTTCTTTGTTTCCTTTATTTAGCGTTTTCTAGTCAGGTTGAGTTTGTTCCTGTTTTAGTCACATTTGTGTTAGGTTCCCTTGTAGCCCTTTGTTTCCCTTCTTTGCTTGCATTGTCACCTGTGTTTAATTTAAGAATTCTAAAGTTTTCTGTTCAGTCTTTGTCAGGTCTACATTTGGGTGCCAATATACTCTAGCCCTAATGGTGACCACGATCAGCACACTGAAAGGGTCCTCGCTCTTTTGTGAAAAGACTACTACTGTATATGATGGAGACACTGTTTCTAAACATATACAGTACACTGAACAGGAAAGGCAGAGTGAGTTTAGCCAAATAAGAGGATTATGAGTTTACAGCCATGATAGTTGTTCATGGTAAATGGTCTTATACTTGTATAGCGCCTTTCTATGCTTTTACAACACACTCAAAGCGCTTTCACATTTTTCGGCCATTCACCCATTCGCACTCCCAAGCACTCACGCATTCACACACCGGTGACATCACCGGGAGCAACTGGCGATTCAGTGTCTTGCTCATAGACACCTCGACATGTTGACTGGACAAGCCGGGAATCGAACCGCTAATCCTCCGGTTAGGAAATGACCCACTCTACCTCCTGAGCCACAGCCGCCCCCCATTCACTTATTTCAAAAGACCAAAAGTGTTGCCCTTCAATAGGACTCATTTAAGTGTCATAGTAATCCATCCAGTATTTAAGTCTGGATCAAAATGATGGACCACCTGAGCAACAGTGCTTATAAGAGACATGAAATGTACCCTTTGTCCACCTGCCAACCATTTTAATAAAACATTTACTGACAGCCACTGCCTTATACTTTGTATATATCATCATTAACACATTTTCAAAACAACTGTCTTTTTGAACAGGAGTTTGTGATGATTGTGGTTTTTGGGTTCGAGTACATCATCCGTATTTGGTCAGCAGGATGCTGCTGTCGCTACAGAGGGTGGCAGGGACGGCTGCGCTTTGCCAGGAAGCCCTTTTGTGTCATAGGTAAGTTGTTGCAGCAGACCCTTCGGATTAGGCTCCTCTGTGGAGAGATGTATACTAATAATCTCCCCCTTTAAAGTACTCTTTCCAGCAGAAAAATAATTTCCTCTCCTTCAGTGTTTCAGTTGCCTTCTATGTGCCCTCAAATGGACCACAGTTGTCCTCTCTGTGAACACAGCTTGATGTTCAATTTTAGCACAGTTCCACAGTGTGCTATTGAGCATAAATTGCTTGTGCCATTTTTAGTTGTGGTCAGCGCTCATAAGAGCAGAAAGCATTTAACTGCCTTTTATATTTTCCACTGTTTAGGCATAGATCTCTCGGCTCCCTGGAGCGTACAGTAAAGTCCTCAAAAGAGGGACAGCCCCGCTTAGAGCGGGGGTTCTCAACCTTTTGTAACATAAACACCACTTTTGATTTGTCATATCAATGAAGGTGATATTCAGGGTCATATTTCCTCACCACACATTTTGGAGCTTTAACTGGAACAGGTTTGTTTCCCACATCACTTTTTTTTATTTCAAAAAGAAATCAACTTTGTGTCACTGCATCCAAGGAAATATTGGCTGGTTTAGCTAGCTGACAGTAGTAAAACACGTTTGTCACTTCCTGATGAGTGTTGTCATAGCCACATGGAACCAGTATTTGAAATTAAGCTTTTTAATTGGACTTTTTTTAATTTATGTGAATTCTCGAGCACATTAATAAATACCTAGCTTTGTAAATTACAAAAAAAAAGCAACAACATTTTATGAAATTTTGCAGTATTACTTCGCAGGCCAGAATGGTTGGCTTAGAGGACACGCAGGGCACCATGAGCTCCCATCGTCACAGTGGTTCATAGTGGGTGCTGTAGCTTGTCAGACTGAGGGAATGTAAGCTAAACAAAAGGGTGAAAATAAAGTAAGACAGAGAAACAAGAAGATGAAGTGTGACAGGAAGTATGGAAAAAATGAGAGATGATGATTTTATATATGAACTAGAGTCTCAGAGACACTAATAAATTAATAAACTAGGTGTATTGTTTAGTTCTCTGTGTTCTCGCTTCCTTATAGAGAGAAACCCTGTTGCTGAGCTGTAGTTTCAAAAATGTGTATTCATGTTTCCATGTCACACTTTGTGATGTGATTAGCATCAGCATGCATACAAAGAAGGGGCTCTTGAATTTTTGTATAAAATGACAGCTTTTAAAACATTGTAGAATAACTGCATTTTCATTTTGTTCTCTAGTGCCACTAAGCTGAACGTGTCTTTCCCACACCCTCTACCTACTGCACTGTACATGCTACAATAACGGGACAGGAGCAGGCCATTTTCAGTGTTTTAGATGTCAGATAATCCCAGTGATAGGTTTATTTTCACATTATGACATATACAGTGTCATGTTAACTGGTAACCTTATCTGTATTATATATCAATACCGCAGTGTTTAATGTGTGCTTTGAAAAATGAGCCATCAGGAGTTTGGTTTACCCATAGAGTACAGGGTGGGTTAAAAGTAACTAGGCATTAAAAATTGGCTATAGAATTTGTAGTATCACTAAAATCTTGATGAAAACAGTCTCTAAATAGACGATAGTAAATAGGATTTAATATTTCACACAGAAATATGGACTTTGTTACCAGTTTTTAATGCCTAGTTACTTTTCACCCATCCTGTTTATAAAATGAATACTGAAGCAAACCTTTAGTTTTAATCTAGCTGAACATACTGTGAAATATTTTTTCTCATTTGGCATTACTGTTGGCACAGACGATAATACCCAGGAGTCGAATCATTTAGCAAACTCATCAGTAAAATTCTTCAAACACATATTTCATATTTTCATATTTTCCACTGGTGGATCATGCCAGATGGAAATCGGTTTATTTGTGGCAGTGGGGATCCTCAAGTACTCTATCAAAGATGCATGTAAACGACTTGGCTGGAATAGTACAGAGTCATATTAGTGCCAGACTGCTGCTTGCCAAGGGAAGCAGTTGACTTCTGTGGAAAGTCTGTGTTCAAAATAGCCTTCACTCATCCTTTGGTAAGTGTTGGAGGCATGTGTTATTAAGTATAGTGTCCTGTGTGTACAAAAATATAAAAATACTGTACATATTTGAGTCCCAGAGTAAATTAAACATGACAGGAAGCAATTTCACCACAAGCGGTTAGCAGGTGTCTGTGTAAACTGGAGTCAGTGGAAGTCCCTTAAGACCAAAATCCTTCAGTATGGACCCTCACTGAGGGCTGAAAAAGAAGTACGGTCATCAGCAGCTTGAACGAATGACTCCTGCTACACACAATTATTGTCATTTACAGGGGGTTGTGCTCAAGAAATGTGCTTGTAAAGGGCAGAACATTTAATGATACAATAAAGGTGTTTAAGTTAATCTTTCAGTACTTCTAAGAAACTGGTCTGTGCCAACAGAAATCATGTTTACTTTTTTCTGCTATAGCAGTGATTTTCAATTTGGAATACCACACCTTACTGTAGCACTGTGGGAGGCAGCGTGGAAATCAGGCACCTGCTCTGAAAGTCTTCCAGTTTGGATTCTGTAGAAATTAGATGGCCAAATCACCTCCAACAGATTTTTTTTTCTGTTTGCACTTCTGCCCACAGAAAAGTAGACGGCATGGACATATGGCACTGTATCTGACCAAACTGAGGCTTACTGACTGTGCCAAACTGAAGATGTGGTGTTATAAAATCATGGGCATGGATGTTCTAATGGTGTGGTTGCACCATATTCCTTCCCCCGTTTATTTTAATAAGGATCAGATTTTTCAAACAGACAATAATCAAGCAGAAGAAAATGTGAGATGCTGCTTGGCTGCAATGAGTGCAAGGATGCTGATGGGGGTTAATAACAACGTTTGATCATTTACAGCTTGTGGAATTTTGTTACCCCCTTTAACAAATGGTTACTTACTACAACTGTACACCTCTTATTACAACGCTTATTACATTGACCTACCAATGCACAGACATTCAGCCTTTTGCTGTTCACTTCCTCTTGAGTTTTTTCCCCTCTCTGCACCTTCAAAGGGAGTGAACCTGCTGCAGCTCAGCGGATGGCCCCAGGGACTGTCATCTCCTGGGTGTCATTAATGTATTTTTTATGCTGCTGCTGACTTTTCCCCTTTTCCGTCGCATCACTGTGGGTCAACTGGATCATTGTTTATGGCATGAGGTATCAGCCACACCTTGGTCAGCATTTTCTCTCAGAAACAGGTTCAGAAGGAGGACAGGAGCCGGAGACACAGCTATATATGGGGGAAACCCTTTTGCACGGCCTAAACTAAACACTAGTGAAGGGTAGAGTTTCACCTGGCGCATCACTGTAATGGAAGATCTGTTTGAGAGTAAAGCAAAAGAGGAAAGGGGAGGAAAAAAAAGTTACTTGTTGAGTCACAGCAGCTTGTTATTTCAGGCTGTGCTCTATGGGTTTTGTGTTGTTCATCTGGCAGTGAGGTTTCTGTCTGAACAACTTCCAAAGTCAAATCGGCGTGTTTCTGTCTACAGCAGATCAATGTGGTACCAGGGGACTTAGACAAACATAGAGTATAGTGTGTATAAATAAAAATGTAATTACAGGATTTTTCATAAACGGTACAAGAAATATAATGAAAATATACTGACGTGAAGACAAAGGCAGTACAATATACAATAAGACAATCTATTAAAAGAAGCCTTGTGCAGGATTATTGTTTGTGTATTAATATTATTGCTTTTAGAGACCATTCATAATGACTCATTAGTCCTTCAGTTTTCTCCTTTTCCTTTGGTAAGCACTTGTGTGTGTTTCCTCTCTGCCCTGCAGACATCATAGTCCTCATAGCGTCAGTAGCGGTGGTGTCAGCGGGCAGCCAGGGCAACATCTTCGCCACCTCAGTCCTGCGGAGCCTGCGCTTCCTGCAGATCCTACGCATGGTGCGAATGGACCGAAGAGGAGGCACCTGGAAGCTGCTGGGATCTGTAGTCTACGCACACAGCAAGGTGGGCCAGAGGCATCCACAAAGGAAAGGCCAATACACATATACACAGACCTTTGTTAGCAAAATGTTTACTGTAGGTACACCTGTAGAAACTATGCAGTTCAATAGTGTATCCCCCAAAAATTGGTGAAATGTAATGTTGGGGTCTGGATTCATTGCTGTTTTTGAAAACATACAACCCCAAATTACAAAAGGTTGGGACATATGTAAAATCTAAACTCAAAAGAGTGATGTGTAAACCATCTGTGTCCTGTATCACACTGAAAACAACACAGCAGCACATTGTTTGATGTGATACCTCATCAGTTTTATTCTTTGTTCAAAATAAACACTCACTTCAATTCTGATGCTGCAACACATTCTAAAAAAAATTTGGGACAGTAAAGCATTTTCCAAGGTGTGATGTTGCCGTTCCTTCTCACAACACTTAAAAGACATTTAGGGACTGAGGTCACCAAGTGATTTAATGTGTCAGGTGTCATTTTGTCCCATTCTTTCTGTAAACAAGTCTTAAAGTGTACAACAGTCCTGGGTCTTCATTGACACAATTTGCATTTCAAAATGTGCCACACATTCTCTACTAGGGACATTTTGGGACTGTAGGCAGACCAGTCCAGCACTCACACCCTTTTCCTCCACAGCCAGGCCTTGGTAATGTACAGTATGAGGTTTTGTATTGTCTTGTTGAAAGATGCATGGGTTTCCCTGGAAAAGATGTCGTCTTGAAGGCAGCATATGTTGCTCCAACATCTCTCTGTGTTTTCCATCATTAATGGAGCCATCACAGACGTGTAAGTGACCTTTGCCAAGGGCACTGACACAACCCCAGACCATGACAGACCCTGGCTTTTGGACTTGTTGCTGGTAACAGTCTGGATGGTCCTTATGGTCTTTGGTCTGGAGCACATAGTGTCCATTCCTTCCAAAAACACCTGAAACACTGTACATGTTTCCACTATGTGATGTGTCCCAGATGTCTCTGAGCCCAGAGCTTCTGGACACTGTTGACATAGAGCTTCCTATATGTCCTTGGCACAGGACATATTATAGTGCCTGACACAGGTGTGCCAAAGTAATCCTGAGTCCATGTGGTTATATCACTTATAGAACAGTGACCATTCTTGATGCAGTGTCGTCTGAGGGATCAGAGAGCTCAGTCATCCGTCTTAGGCTTGTGCTCTTTACGCACTGAAATCCCTCTAGATTTCACATCAGCAGATGCTTCTTGTGAACACCAAATTCAGTTTTTGTTGTTGTCATTAACTGAGTGGTTCACATACTTTTTCCAGCCTGCACTGTGAATGTTTGAATGATTTATTCAATATGGACAAAAACAACCCAAATAATTGTGTTATTATTAATCATTATAACTGTAATTGCACACCTGTAACTTGACCATATTCGATACATAAATGCTTGCTGCTGTGTACTAGTATTGACTTTCTTTGCATCTCTGGGAAAGCTGTGAATTGCCTGGTCAGCTTCATTGTATCAAAACAGCCAATGCAATTTTATATAGAAAGACAGTGAAAAATAATATTGCTTTAGAAGTATTAGACTCATTGGTATTGAAATATTTAGAGGTCAGTCCAGGTTTTACTCTGGCAATCTCTCTTCTTATATTTCTTGCCATTCTCACCTCACCTCACTTTGCTTCCTCTGTGCCCCACCTCCATTGGCCCACACAAGTCCACCAACCAGTTTTTACCTTAAATCAATATGACTCCTTTCAATGCAGAGGCCAGGACAGGTCAGTGGTGCTGAAATAGCTTTTGTTTAATTCAATCAAAGCAACACATTCATGCTGAATAATCAACATCTTATTCAAAATGCAAAGGTCAGGTACTGTGTAAGGCTGAGTACTGTATGTAGTGAGGATGTGTGTTGTTAGGGCTTATTTTGTATATTCAGGGCCTTCCTTTGGCGCTCTTGGCCCACTTCAGGGTGTCTCACCAAGTAGTTATTTCTTCTGTAGTACTTTGAGTGAAAATGTACTGACCCAAAAACAACTAGTTAGGCAGCTGAATCAGCTAACCTCAGTAACAAAATATATATTTTCTCACTCACATTAATGGTTTCTAGAATTGAGCATGGTGCATTTTGAAATGGCAGTGGATTGGTGACAGCATCCACCAGCCAGTGAATGGCAGTGGGCAGCATCAAGAAGGGGTAAATCTTTTGAGTTAAAGGTGGGTGGGATGGTGCTTGGCCAGTGGTTTACATCAGTTGTTGCTTTTCTTCTTTTCTCTCTCCTCTATCCACTCACCCCAACCAGTGGAGGCAGAAAGCTGCCCACCAAGAGTCGGGTCTGACGGAGGTTTCTTCCATTAAAGGGAGTTTTTCCTCCCCAGTGTCGCCAAATGCTGCTCAAGGGGGATGTGTTGGGTTTTCCCTGTGTAATAACAGTGATAACATTAAGGTCTAGACCTTACTTTGTAGTGTCCTGAGATGACTTTTGTTGTAATTTGGTGCTATACAAATAAAATTTGATTTGATTTGGTCAGTTACAGCAGTAAGCAGTAGTAATAGAAGCATAACTGAGCTGAGAATTTACAGTTATTAGCTCTGTTTTGTGAAGGGCTCTGTGGTTTGTTGGTCAGGGTGGGTACCTCTCTGCAGTAGTGTGAGAGCTGAACCGTACTGGCTCAAGTCTGAGACCTACTCAGGTGCTACACATAAAAAGTACTATAGCTGCTAGCTACATTTAGTATTAAGTACAGGTCACGTCTAAGATGATAATTCACCGTTGTAACATGTCAAATAAGTCAGAAATCAAGGAAAAGCATGCCATGGGCTCTTTAACTTAAAGGTGCAGTGTGTGAGATTTAGTGACATCTAGTGGAGAGGTTGCAGATTGCAGCGTTCATCAAAGCTCTCATACATCATGTTAGACAGTCCTTCCAGCCGTTTAACAGCCATTATCATAAATGTAGCTCGAATTGTGCACTCAGAAAACAAGTGCAGCTGACTTGACCAAGGGAAAGCTAACAGCGGCTCACTTGACCATGGTGGGTTACTCAGCGCTGGCCATGTTCTAACTAAACCTATCAAACAAAAACTTGCATTTAAGTTAAAGTTGCATTATCTGAGATTTAGCACTAATTTAGATAGATCAAGTTAAAAAAAATATCTAGAAGTGTTTTCTCCCTGCTGTACTAACCCCCACCCCCCACTTATCCCATTGCTTTGTGTCTTTGCTTCTTTGACAAGGGGGACTCACGCTGTCTTCCTTTTTCTTCTGTTAAAGTATAACTATGATCCAACATTTCTTCATATTATAGTTCTTAAACTCAACAGTGCTTCCTCATTTCTAATGTCACTTCTCCTTTGTTTTCCAAGCATCCTTAAATCCAAGCTGTTACTTCAACATGAAAACATGAAAATTAACGCTCTAGACCTAGTGTGTGGTTTTTCCATTCTGAACTACTGTAAAACATGGTGGCTCAACATGGTGGCCTCCATGATAGGGGACCCACTCCTATGTAGATATAAAAGGCTCATTCTAAGCTGAAGAAAACACAACAGTTCTTATTTTCTGGTGATAGATTAATGCAAACATAATTATGCATACTATAGCCCATTTCTGCTAATAAATCCTTCTAGATCTTATATGTTGCACCTTTAAATGAAAGAAAACTTCTTCAGCCACTGCTTACCAAATACCTTAGGTAGATGGTAGAATAATGGAGTCTTCAATGACATCTGTGTTATGGTCAGAAGTGACTTGTCTCTCTGCTGGAGATAGAACCTGAGAAGTTCCTGAAGTTGACACAACGGTCATTGGCCTCATCTGGGACTGCAACGAAGTGGTGTACAGACAGGAAGTTAAAAAGTTGGCTCTGTGGTGTGGTCGCAACAACCTGAAGCTGAACATGCTCAAAACAGTGGAGATGACAGTGGATTTAAGGAGGAGCCACACCACTCTATCTTCATTCACCATACTTGGCAGCAATGTATCAGCATTGACGTTGTACAGTTTCCCTGGGCTCCACTATCTCTCAGGACCTGAAGTGGATGTCCATCATCAGCACCATCACCAAGAAGGCTCAACAGAGGATGTACTTCCTGCACCAGCTCAGGAAGTTCGACCTGCCCCAGGAGCTGCTGATGCAGTTCTACAGAGGAATCATCGAGTCTGTTCTCTGCTCATTCACCACTGTCTGGTTTGGCCCAGCTACCAAACAGGGCAGGAACAGACTCCAGCGGACAGTCAGGACTGCAGAAAGAATCATCAGTGCCAGCCTGCCCTCCGTGGAGGACCTGTACACCTCACGGGTCAAAAGGAGAGTAGAGAAGGTTTCTGCAGACCCCTCACACCCTGGACACAAACTGTTTGAACTCCTCACCTCTAGATGGTGTGCAGGTCACTGTACGCGAAGACAACCAGATACAAAGACAGATTCTTCCCCCACGCCATCACTCTAATGAACAGATAAATGTCTATAGCCATCATCCTGATGACTAGTTAACCAGGACTACAATAACATATGGATAGAGCCGGCCACAGGAGCCAGTCTGATAACTTGAATGTGCATATGTAGATAACTTGAATGTGCATATGTATATAATATAACTGAATACTTATGTATATAATATAATGTTTATTGCCTGTTGCCAAAACACACTGAGAGACTGCTCAACATACTTGGTGATTACAGTTGATTCTGAAGTGCCCCCTAATAGTCCTGCTCTTGTGCACTTTAACATGTGAGTTTCTATGATAAGCTCCCAGTGTGGTATAAAAACATAAGAGATGGTGTCTGTGTGGTAGAAAATAATTTGCAGTGATTGAAGCAGGTTTACAGTAAAACTCATTTCACTTTCACTTGCATTACCTGGTCAATCTATGTCCTAAAAAGCTTTGTCCTCTAAGTTCATAGAAAAGCCGATTTAGGGTGATCTATATTTAGAGGTCATATGCAAAAGTTGTTGTGCATTATAAAAATGATCTTTTTGCATGATTACAGTCTAAATGTCAGTTCTAACCTCTCTGCAGGAACTGGTAACCGCCTGGTACATTGGCTTCTTGGTTCTCATCTTCTCTTCATTTCTTGTCTATCTTGTGGAGAACAAATTCAACAAGGACTTTGCTACCTACGCTGATGCCTTGTGGTGGGGGACGGTAAGTCTGGAGGAATATATGTGATTCAGGAAAAAACATAATTTAAAGAGATGGCTCCAACAGCTTTCTGTTAATTTTTTTTATTTTTTTTATTGATTTTTCTGACAGTCCTAGCCTGTTCTTGGACTTATACTTCTTTGAATCAAATGATGATTTGACCTCACAAGCCTCTTTGTAGCTATAATTTGTGTTCTGCGCTAGTTGCTTAAAGTCAGTACCCTTGCTGATTTCTTATCTCTTATCATTTTTTCACTGTCTCTGGTCACTGACAGCTCCTTTATAAACATTTGCCTTCCACAGCTCCATTAGCTACCATTTTCATACTGGATCAAAAATTATAATGGCACCAAATGGCTGCAGCTGGCTTTGTGATGCACTGAATCAAAAGAGAGAGAGAAGGGGGGGGAGGGATAGATAGATAGACAGATAAAACAGAGTACCTAATGCAAGCAAGGACGTTCAAAAGCAGTGCCAGTTCCACTTCCAGACAAGTCTATTTGCCATGTCATTAAATAGTGAATACACTATTAATGTTACTTTTCAGGCTTTTGCTGAACACATGAGAATGTCTCATTTAGTAGTCATATTTTGATGCATTAAGTATCATCACTATGATTTGTGATCATAATTTGGTCTGTTTCTTTACTGAAACATCATTTGTTGGTTGTTTGCTTCATTAAGACGTGAGTTGTCTCAGCAGTCAGGCAAAGATGTGTAATTCTCAATAAGGCCTCTCTGTGTGTCTTTACAGGTCACCCTCACAGGCGTTAAGTAGGTCTTTACACACAAAAAAAACCACACATTGTGTTTCAAAGGCCTTTTTGGAAACACAGTATGTAAACCAGAGCCACACATCATTACTGCTGGAAAGACTCCAGGCAGCTCTGATCACTCAGATGTGATTGAAGGCATTATTTCACATTCTGCACCTATGTGGCAAAGCCAAGCCTGCAATAAGAGAAGGAGGCAAATAGAATACAGCTATGCACACCAAAACACGAAGCAGACAGAGAAAAATGCTGCTTATTATGCTAAAAATCTTCAGATATTTTCAATGTGTTCAGCTTAAAGCTCAACTGAACAGATAAGGATTTGAAAGGTGTGTTCACATTATAGCAGAAAAATAAGGGTCAGTGTAGAAACCTGAGTAGGGGCACTGTACAAAATGGCTCTTTCTTAACTACAATGCTAATCTTGCTAACAGTAGGGCACTAAGTTTTAGAGGCTCAGGCTGTGTTTTTTTTTTTTTTTAACAATCTTGTTAGCAGCATTTTTGTGCTGATATTTTATCAGCTAAATAGGGTTTCCTTTATTTAAAATCTATATGAGGATGATATGTTGTGCAGTTTGGGATATTCAGAAACAGAATTATACTAGTTTCACATCAGTTCAAGCAGTGGTCACCAGTGATTGGCTGTATGCATAAAGGTCAGAGCAACTGGGGTAAAAGTTCAACAAATCTTTAAAACCACCCTTGCTCCACGTTGTGCAGTGCATGCATCCACACAGAGTCTGTGCAGTGCATCGCATATACAACACACAGAAAAGCAGTTTTTCCTCAATGTGAACATGCCACAAGATTGTGGGTCAAGAATTTGAGACAGGTTTTCAAACTAGATATGTTAAAAGGAAGTTGTCTCTGGCCGGTAATATTACACTAGATTTTATGGTGAATTGTTGCCATCAAATTGAAGATTTAGAGTCTGGCATTTAGGCTGAACAGGTTGATAAAGTCATTTAGATGTCTGTAGATGTGGTATATCAGAGTTTCAGCCCCCAGTAGGCCTCAGCTGTATTTTTCAGATTATTATTTGCCTGTAGTGCAGCTATCTTTCCATAATGTCTGACATGTCAAATGTTTGTCATATGTCATGGTGTGGTTTAGCTTATGTATAGTAGGTGTTTGTTATTCGTAATGTGTGCTTCGGGTTGCAAGACAAATTTCATAAGTATAGTCTGACCAAGTGTAATCTAATCTAATCTAATTAAGATAGTTAGACCAATCATAAATTCACAGAAATACTAACAATCAATTTCCTTATGTTCTTTACAACAGCTGAATCGTCTTCATGTTTTATTTCTTGAAAGTGCGACCAGCTCATCCACATCATTTAGCCTGCTGTTTTCATATTTTCTCTGTGCTAAAAATGTGAATACATGCTTCAGAAACATTTGTTACCACATCAGTAATATGGTGGTAAATGACTTTTTTTTTGTTGCTCAAAGTATTGAAAAAACTTTGTGTGAAGGCTCCCTATATAAGTATTAATCAATGAAACTAATTGCTTACTAATGGGTAATAAATAATTTTCTACCACATGCTTTAACAAACCTGAAAACACCAAAGGGGGGTTTTCACTGCAAAACCAAAAGTTGTTCTTATATTTGGTGCTCTAATTAATGTCGTTAGCTACAGATTGTAAATCATTTTCATAATGAGAAATTGATACCAAAAAGCAATATGTCTTTCAAGAAACAATATCCAGCTTACACACAGTGTTCGTTAAACACGTCCTGTCAGCAGTTTTCACTGGAACTCCTTTCTGCTACAGTAGAACTCCATTACTCTACTGACAAATGAGCTTAGAATCAATTTATACAGCAGTTAATATTGTAATTTTCCAGACTGCCATTTAATAAAATTGTACAAATTCACATCAATACAACAGTCATTCAGCACCTTAAAATCATTTGTGTTGACAGATCACCCTGACAACCATTGGCTATGGGGACAAGACACCAAAGACATGGACAGGACGGATGCTGTCCGCAGGGTTTGCTCTCTTGGGCATCTCCTTCTTTGCCTTGCCAGCAGTAAGTCCAAGCTCTTCAAGTGATTCCTTCCACCTTGAATTGCAGGAAAATTTGTTCATCCTCTTCAGACAGATTCCTCTGTTTAATTAGTAATTGGCTGCAAGCCCGGTTATTTATACAGCAAGACAGCTATCGTTTCATTCACTACATTTTGTCATATGTTTGATTGCAGCCTGTGAGGTTAAGCTAAAGGGAATATTTACTGTAAGGAAGGAAAAAGGAACAAATTCAGTTTAATATTTACTTTTTCATCAGTTTTTATAAGTAAAGGTCTTTTGAAATTAAAATTAAAGGTGCTCAGCTGAATTAGTATAATTCTAACTTTAATCCTTGTGGAGCTCCTCTAGTCCTGTACTAGATGGAATTTTAGCTACAGTGTTAGCATGGCTAGCAGACTCAAACTGTGGTTTTTAACAAATGTATTAGCTCAGGGATTTTCAGCCAGTGGTCTGCGAAGCCATTGCAGGCAGCCCCTGACTGTGCATTTAATAATGTAGTTTCTCTGTAGGAATCACAATTTTTAAAAATTTTATTCTGTAAACACATTTCTGTGTGTAATTAAATGTGTAGCCTAATTATTGTTTGTGAATAATCATATTCATGTAAATATATAAAACTTAGTCAAGGTAACTATCAGGATTAAAACAGTGCCCATCTGGACTATCCAGGGTCGTCAGGTTGCTCCTTAGTCAGAATGGTGGTCCCTGGGTAACAATTAGTTGAAACCCCTGTGTTAGCTGCATCTGCCTGCTAATATTTCATCAGGCACTTATATTTTCTGTCTGGTTTCAATACGATGCCAGTTTTTATAGTTTTTTTCTGTACATACAGAAGTAATAGTAATGTACCAGTAACCTGTTGCATCCATCTATTAGTTCAAGTGGGCAACAGCAGCTGGCTACTCATACAGATCAGCACAGCTTAGGACAAAATTTAACTAATTTGAATTTTTGGTGCACAGTTGTATACACAACAAGCTGTCATGACAAGCTACATACTGAATGATGCCTGTGCAAAAGCAGGCCCCCACAGTAATGTGAATGCACCTGGAGTGGAATAGATCTTCTCAGCTAACCCTTGACCCAGTGAATATACATAGGTGTAAATTCCAAACTTTTCAAGAATTACAAGCACACTGATTCTGAACTGATCATGTCCTTTTTTATGCAGCAACAATGGTAGTTCTCATTAGAGTTGTGCTGCCTTTCTCAGCAGCTCAGTGACACTGTTAATATCATGCCAGGGTATTCTGGGCTCAGGCTTTGCCCTGAAGGTCCAGGAGCAGCACAGACAGAAGCACTTTGAGAAAAGGAGAAACCCAGCTGCCTACCTCATCCAGGTAAAGCAGACAGCCTCCTCCCTTGTCTTATTATATTATACACACATTATCAGCTTTGGGCTGGAAATTAAAAATATTATATCTGATGTATGGCTTACTATATATGACATGAAAGGCATTTGTTGCACTTATTTAAAAACAGTACTCCACGGTCTAAAAGAACTGAATATCTGCATAATATGTCAAATGTGATTATAATTCCTAAATGCCATTTATCATTGTCCAGTCCTTTTCCTTCAAAACCCTGACCCAATAAAAGCAACACAACATCTAGCTTCACCCTGTCCAGCCCTTTGACCTCTCATCCTCACTTCACTGTAAACTCTTTATTCTCTGGGAGTTTTTTAAACCCCTTCCAGATTCACCTGTATTTAAGCCTAAAAACACCAGTCTGGCAAACCATTCTTGCCACCCCCCTCTTGTCTGCATCATACATTTCCTTCTGATCTTCATGCTCATTTTGTTTCATCCTGAATTTCAGTGTTGCTGACCTCGTAGTGTCCTCCTCATATATTTCTTCATACACCTCATTTTCTTCCTGTGCTCTCTTACAAACGTCTCTTCCACATGCTTCTCCACTTTCTTCCTTTGTGGTTTCACCTCTTCATTTCTCTCCCATCTCCTGTTTCCCATCTCTCCCTCTCCTGATCTCCACCTCCACTTGTCTTCTCTCCACCACCACCTCCTGCTCTTCATCCCATCCATCCCCATGTTGTACCAGGCTGCATGGCGTTATTATTCCACCGACAGCACCAGGCCGTACCTGGACGCCACATGGCGGCACTATGAGAGCCTCCTGCCTTCCCACAGGCATGTATCCATGCCTGACCTCCGCCCAACCACAGACGTGTGACGCACCTCTTTTTTGGGTTTCACTAATCAGCTTTTTTAAATTTGTTTTCTTTTCTGTTCTCCTCATCCTCTTCCTCCTGTTCTTCCTTTTTCTTCCGACTCTCCCTGGCCTTGTTTTTGTTTTCTCTGTTTTTTTTTTCTTTCCATTTATCTTTTTCTCCTCTTTGTACTTTTTCCTTTTTCCTGGTTCTGTGTATTCTGCATGCAGTGTGTTTGGCGTAGTTATGCGGCTGATGAGAACTCGGTTTCCATTGCTACCTGGAAGCCTCACTTAAAGGCGTTGCATACCTGCAGCCCTACAAAGTAGGTACAACTATGGCAGCTGATGTCTGTATTTGGTGTCTGTGCCCCTCGAGTCATCTTTACTCAGTTATGTATGCTTTATGTTACTATACATCTTTTTAAAATGATTCATCCCTTTTACTTTTTTGCTGTTATTGCTACACTTGTTTTGTCTTTAGTATAAATGCACTGATTTAGTTTTCTTATGATAAAATGGTTCACAGCCATCACTAACATCGATCATTTCCAGGCTTCATTCATTTAAATAATAAAAAAAACCCCACTGATTTTAGCGCAGCTCTAAACAACAGTTTTGCTGCTATTACAGAAAAGAGCATTTTATCCCTCCACAGCATTCACACTGAGCCGGGCTCTTCTGTCAGTTGAGTGCTCAGTGGGCCAGGGACTTTCACCACTGACACTTTGAAGGACCGCGGCAGTAATTTTAGCACTTACCTTCTGCAACATATCTATTTATGACAGCAGTTGTAGCCTCAATGACCAATCAAACCTTTTTGAATTTGCAGCACTTTGGGCACCTTAAATTGTGTGGCCACAGAGCCATGATGCCCTGAGTAATTTCAAGGTAGAGTGCATACACATAATTCAGTCTGTCACTGGCTTTGGCAGCTGGCATATCTATACATGAAGATACAGTACAGATCTCTATAGAGGGGTTTCCCATTTACAAACAGTCGAGGATGCACACACAGGAGAGTAGAAAACTATTTATCACAATGTCACGAGAGCTTATATATGGACATTTACACCACTTAGGCTGCTTCACTTCATTTGATCCAGACCAAGAGAAAAAAGACAGTTGGCTTTTAGTTCTGGTAAAGTTTATATTCACACTGATTTTTGCAAACAAACCAAGAAGAACATCACATTGTACACACTGCTAGGTGACATCTTAATGCTTCTGTTGTATATTCATGTTTACAAAGTGGTCATTAAGGAGTAAGTGATTCTGAGCCACATTAATATTATGAGATTGCTGATTGGCTGCATACTAAATTATGACGTGAGAGACAGAACAAAAGGAGGCTTCTTGTAAAGCAATATTTCAAGTGGGATTTCTATGGGATTGCTACATCATGTTCTTTTAATGGATTTCATGAATTGCCAAAGTATACAGAATAGCTAAAGCACAGAAGATGGCTGTTTTAACTACTTTTGACTATACTGACATACAGTACTGATCCTTGTGCATACTGCAGAGGTTACAAAATGATTTTTTAAAATATTTTCAGTACATTGACTATAAAATCACTTCCTGAACATTTCACGATCACCAGATGGATTTAATAAGAGTAACTTTAAAATTGATTCTAAAATGACAAGTTTCCCATCAAACCCTGGACCATTTGGCAGCCTTGACACCAGCACAAATAAACTAAACCAAATAGGGAAAAAAACACCAGGTTTTGTTTTAACTATACTAAAACAGGTTAAGAATGAACACAACCTTAGAATCTGGGCAACCTCCTAGAAACAAGTAAAACTAGAATTACCGCTTTAAGATGACTGACCTTGACTTTTGACCACCAAAATGTAATCGGTTCATCTTTGAGTCTAATTTTGCACACTTGTGCAAAATTTTAAGAAAATCCATAAAGGTGTTCCTGGCATATAGTGTTCACAAAGATGGGACAATCGCTGGATCACAGTGACCTTGACCTTTGACCTTTGGTCACCAAGATCTATTTAGTTCATAGCTGAGTCCAAGTGGGCATTTCTGCCAAATTTGGAGAAATTCCTTCAATGTGTTCCTGATACACGGCATTCAAAAGAATGGGACAAACCCCAGGTAATTACATGCACGTCTGTCCAGACTCATAATACATTGTAGTGAAGGATCTGTAAGAAAAATAATTGATATTAAGTGCATTTAATTGGAAGAAATTCCCTCCTGAGATATCACGTTCACAAGAATGGGACAGATGGACAGACAGACAACACGAAAACATAATGCCTCAGACAGCAGCTATCACCGGTGTGGAGGCATTGTTACTGTTTAGAGGTCATTCCCAAAACAAGTTTAACTAGCTAATGTGACACATGGAATTCCAGTGAAAATTCACAGCTAGTAGAAGTAATAGCACCACCAAAACTACACAGTTTGCTCTTGCAGATAGTTAGAAAGGCTGTGTGTGTGTTCCATACCACCAATGATTAAAAAGTTTACACATGGAAAATAAGACTTAAGCTGTGATTTAAAAGCATGTCTGTTGCATATCTAGCATTAAGAGATAAACTAATATTAGATCTCCCTCATTCTGGATATTATATCAGTAACATTGCGTATAACCTTTCTTCTGTTTTCCATCTAAATATACCAGACACTAGATGTATGCCAGCGGTACCAGTTTCTGTTTAAAATGAGCCATCACCTTATTAAAAACCCCTAACTCTGACCAGATGGGTAGATACCAACATATTATTCACAACTAACCAGGAGGTTTCCTTCATGGGATACTGAATATTTTCCACCCATTATCTTTAGTATTTATGGCACAATAACATGTTCTCATGCTGATTCCCCACTTCAGTACTCTGGTTTGTTTTCTAACCCCTTCTGAACATGTGTGACATTACTCAGAAGCCTGGAAATATTAGAAAAAGTTCTATACAACAAGGTTCTGTACAGTTCTATAGTCATAATGAATGTATTATACAAAACACACACTGATCACAAAGACACTTCTTACAGAGAATAAGTGACTTTAGTTAATCACTGGCTTCTCTTTTTGCAGCTGCTTCCTTTGTTTGCCTGTTGATCTGCATCTTTGTAGTGAGCCTGCTGTCTGTTAAAAGTCTTTTCCCCCTGGAATGTATATTATTGATTGATGTGTTGCTGCCCTTCCCACTTTTAAAAGCAACTGTTGCTTGAAAAAACCTTTAATGTAAACCTCTTCCTATCATGCTGAGTTCAAGGACCATACTGGTGTGTTTCCAGGTTTTAATTTCATCAATGCAAATCATATAACTAACATTTGTGCCCACCAATTCTGCATACACACCACAAAAACACAACAAGTTACAACAAGTTATCCAGTGGTTTTTCAACATGGTTAACTTTAATGTAAAGTCTATGTGATTGGTAGTGAATAAGATAAAACCAAGAGGCAACCTCAGAGTCTTGAGATATGAAGCCAATGCGGAAGTGCTAAAACCTGCAGTTTCTCTAATGGCCACTTGAGACTGGCTCCAAAGGGGAGTCAATCCCTACAGACTCCCATGTTAAAATACCCAACTTTATATCAGAAATAAACATGTTTATAGCCTTTTGCAAACAGCAGTTTTGGTCTCTATAGCTAAATGTGGGGGGGTATGGGGGTCCCCAATGCCCCACCTCTTTGCTCATTTTTGGATTAGCCGTAGGAGATGGAGTGAAGCACTAGCAATATGGCAATGATCAGACATCATAATCGCTATTCAGAAAGCCAGTGGGTGACGTCATGGTAGGTTTGTCTACCTTGTATACAGGGTGGGTGAAAAGTAACTAGGCATAAAAAATTGGCTATAGAACTTGTAGTATCACTGGAGTCATGATGAAAACAGTCTCTAAATAGACAATAGTAAATAGGATTTCATGAGAAATCCTATTTGATTTAATATGATTCATGAATGATATGAATCAAATTCAATCATTTAAATATCAATCAAATTCATATGAAATGAAATCATATTTCATATGAAATCTATCTATGCAGGCAGCACGGTGGCATGGTGGTTAGGTTTGTGACCTTTCTGTGCAGAGTTTACATGTTCTCCCCATGCTTGCGTGGGTTCTTTCCAGGTGCTCCGGCTTCCTCCCACAGTCCAAAGACGTACGGCTTAGGTTGATTGGTGTCTCTAAATTGCCTGTAGGAGTGAATGTGTGAGTGGTTATTTGTGTGCGTGTTGGCCCTGCAATGGACTGGTGTACCCTGCCTTCACCCAAGTGCCAGCTGGGATTGGCTCCAGCCCCCCCGCGACCCTGTTTGGGACTGAGCGGTATAGAAGATGACTGAATAAATCTATCTATGCAGAGACTGTTTTCATCATGGCTCCAGTGATACTACAAGTTCTATAGCCAATTTTTTATGCCTAGTTACTTTTCACCCACCCTGTATACAGACAGTGGCTAAAACATACCTAAAGCTCTAGTATGGTCCTCTCAGCACTGTGAGCACTGTGCTAACACTGAAGTATTCTGAAAAGATGTTTTCTAACATATATACATATACATATATATATATATATTTACTTTTTTTTTCTCATCTGCCACTACAGGAAAGAACATGGCGACTCAACCACAAGGTTTGTAACTCTGCTGTTTTGATTGTTACAGTTCCATAATTTAAATATAGACTTGAGTATCAAACTTGAAAACGTTTTTGATGCTTGACTGAAATACATCTGAGTACCTGACTGAAATTCTGCTGAGATGTTTCCTTAGTTGAATCAGTTTGTCCTTTTTGGCAGAGTTCACCGCTTCATGTGTTTATGAACCGGTCACTAACTTTGTCTTGCATTTGGTGCTTGGCAGGTACAACAGTGTACAGTTGGTTTTAGGGTAAATGAGTGTGACACAAATAGTACAGTTGTAGACCCTAAAACCAAAGCTTCAGATGAAATATGCTAAAATATAGTCCAGAGCGGAGGAGATATTCAGTGTTGCACAATACAGTAATTCTTTGTGCTTTCATCACTGTGAGCGACCCCTTCAACAGTACACACAGTCATTTAACAATGTAAGCTAACAAGAAAAAATTTGCATTGGTTTCTGGACTGAAAGTAGTACTGTGAATTTCAAATGATGCCCAACCGTCTTTAGAAAAAAATATCTGCCATTATAAACCTGAAGACTCCTGTTGCTCCACTTCTGTGTGAAGTGCACTGTCACAGACAGTAATGTCACCCTGACTGGAGGAGTCCAAGGCCGTGGGTGATGAAATGTCTTCCTGCTAATAGCGACTTCTTCACTGGCACACTCTATGACTCACTGTTTTAGCTTCTTCTCCTCTCCAAAAATACACTCCTACAGTAGGCTATAAGCAGTCAAATAAAAGCAATAATACACACACATATTCTTAATTAATCATCATATTATTTTTTTTTTTGATTGATTTTATTCTTTCAAGCATGTAAAGACAGTTGATATGTCAACACACATAATTTCACACATATCCACAAATGCTAATCCATTATCAATTTGCTTATACCTAGTACATGCTTGAACGGAGTAGGAAGAAGTCAGACTTATCCAGTCCTACCCCATGACATCATCTTACCATCATTGGTTTGCAAGCAGTATCTCTACATA